CTAATGCTTCAGTGCAGCTTGTTTACTCTTTCCTCACAGATTTTACGACTTAAGTTTTGCATTTCCTGCTTGCTTCTGTTACTTAACCCATGATTTAATACTACACATGCAGGCAGGAATCTACTATAGAAATAATCCAAAGGCTTATGATAACCTTGGAAAAATCACAGTGTGGCTTGTGCTTCTTTTCTCCACGGCAATATTCCAGGTGGTATCCTAGCATAATTTCCTATAGTTACTTCCCAAGAAAAAACATCTCTTCAATATCCTCTAGCATCACAGGTTCTTAAGGAGTAGCTTCTCCTTTTCAAAGAAAGAGCTACGCAAAGTAGCTCAATCAGTGTCTCAGTAGGGAAACAGCAGGAAGAAGGGGTTGGGAAAAGGTGTTCTTTCCCAGGGCCAGCATTTGATACTGACAGTCTAGATGCTGTAGTTTAAAATCTGTTCCTAGACCTGAGATACTGGTGGACATTGGGCAGATCACTGGACCTACCGTGTAAATAAGGAGCTTTTTAGCCTTTCCTACTTTTCAATAAGGAGACTGAAATTAATCAAAGTACATCAAGTGAAAGGTACTAGGAAAAATATCATTAACAGTAGAAAACCCTGACAAAAGAACTCCAGCCTTCGCCACGTACATTACTCTGCAAGAAAGTGACAGATCTGAGCTAAAAAGTTAACAAAGATATATCTTTGTCCCTTGAGGAGCACAGCTTTCTAGCAGCTTCATCCTTCTCCACATTACTAATGTGTCTGTAACCTCATTTCAAAAACATACTGAAGGCACCCCAAGTCCTCACACTTTTAAAAAACCTGACAATGCAAGAAGCTTATTAAAAAAGAAAAGAAGAAAGTCATGCTGCAAAGATGGCACAGAAAAGTAATCAGTGATGGAATTCAATTTACACTCCCAGATCATGCAGCCCCCCTGACTCATCCAAGCCACCCTGCTTTATCAGAACTGCCAGCATCCCTCTGAGACAGTGTGTAATAAAATATGGAAAATGCATTAAAAATGTGCAACCTCAGTGATGCAATGAGCTGACATGAAAAACACTTTCTTCTCACTGTGAAATGCCACAATGTGGTTGCATTAGCTCGGAAGCAGATGTATACTGCTGCTGCTATTCCCACTGCTTCTGCCATACCTGCTCAGTGTAGGACTTCAGGGCTCAGGAGATTCACCAGCACAAAATGCAAAGCTTCATATCTGGCTATAGTCCTGAGTAATATGGGATGGAATCATTCCTGTGCATCTAAAGGATGAAGTGCTGTGAGATAACACCCTTTTATGCCCCTTGTGTCCTCGGAGTGGGGTGATAAACTGGTTGCCCATGAGTCAGGCCTTGGCAGATGCAGGAACGTCAGCAGCGCTGTTATTCCAGTAAAACAAGATGACGTTACTTTCATGCAACCCAGTTCTGTAGACACAGGCCTAGTTGTACCTGCCACCTGACCAAGTCTGAACCCTTGCTATTCTCATTGCAGCTTTAGTGTCTCTGTATTTGCCAAATAACAAATACAGCTTTTCTGTTCTTTCTCCTATTTTAGTAGAGAGCTTGGGTGCTAAAATAAAGCCCATTAATCTGGTGACTGCTATTCATTTGAATGGTACTACTGCATCTGTGATTTTAGTTCAAAGCATTGTAATCTCTCTACATTTCATGGTTGTAACATGGCATGGTAAGAGAATACACATTTCTCCTAATGGCTCCAAAGCATTAGTAACACATGCAGAAACGGAATGATTCAGGCTGGAAAGGACAACCCTCTTAAGGGCTCCAGTCCAAATTGTTCTCAAAGCAGAACTAACTTTGAAGTTAGGCGAGGGAGGGGGCATATCAAGAATAATCACCTTCATCTACCATCACTGGGCAAGACAGAAATTAAATACTTGTTTGTGTGGATTAAATGTATTTCTAAGAACTAATAGTGACAAAAATTACCCACCAATATAGATTCCACGGTAAGGAACCGATAACAAAAGGTTTCTCTCAGCACCACATATTTACTACTTCATTGACACTTACTGCTTTTCTGGAGATTGGATGTGCAAGGCATGCAGCTGATGTTTTTAAAGTCAAATTAAAGGACAAGTAATTTCAGAGAGGGACTGATTTTTAAATACTGTTGAGTTTTCTCCTAGTGTAAACTCTCACTGAAGCCAAGCAAAGTCACCAAACCGCAGAATAGTTTGCAGCTCTTCTAGCCACTGGCTTTTGAACTGCTATGTTTGATGCATTAGCCAGAACAGAATAAGGCACAGCAGTCAACATGTCAGTGAGTCAATAGCAACACAGCTAAAATTGCAACTCTCAGCACTGCCAGCATCGGTGGAATTATCTGGATTGGAGTAATGGTGTGAGATGATAGTGAAACAAGTCGCACATAGCCTCAGCTCTGCTCTGTGAACCAAGCAGCTGTGAGCTGCAGAGCTGAATGAGCACTGCTCAGAAACAAAATTCGTGTGTACATACTATTCGTCTTTTTAACCCCTACAGGAATTTTCAAATGACAGTTCCTCCCACTCACAAACACCACCCTTCTCCAAAGTGACTAAAAACCATCATGTCCCTCCTGTAAGTAATTCTGCTCTCTTCTGGTTTTATTCAGTATCAGAATGATGCATGAAATTTAATATTACAAGTTCCCAGAAGGCACTGGATCCAGAAACACAGAACTGTAAATTTTCAGGCAGTCCCTGGGCAAGACATGTCCACATTGCCAAGCAACAGCTGCTACAAGGAGTTGTAGTTCCGTATCTCTCGTGTTCAGTATCTTTCCTGCACAGCTTTTTTTCCCCAGCCAAGCAACTTGTTGATCACAGTGCAGCATGGAAGTGCCACCCTATCCACTAACTGGGATCAGGCAGGGTAGACTATATGTAGGAAGTGACAATAGACATCTTGAAACTCCACATGCATGTCAAAAGTAGACTATGCCCTACTCTCCATACAGCCCTCTTCCCCCTTCTCATTCCCATCTTGCCACTGGGTCATGTAAGGACTTCCTTCCAAGGAATGATGCTTATAAAGGGCTATGTGAAAAGAGCATCATATATGTATGATAATGTGGTGCTTCCTGCTAAAACATTTTCCAGAATGCCTCTCAGGCATACATGGCAGTGTGCAGCGCTCCCAGATGTGACTGTTTAAGAGGGAAAAAAATGTACATGATTTGAGTTAGCTTAAAAACTCATGTGCAGTTCTGCAGTTCAGTTCTGCACACTGGTGCCCATCAAACAACTATAGGGTTTTCAATCTTAAATTTCTTCTCTCTTTAGACTTGGCTACCTGTGTCCCCTAGTGTTACCTAAGACCTAGAGGCAGGCAGCTCCAAGGAAATGGCTGTTCCATGCTATCTCAGTAGCCTTTTTCCCCAGGCATTTAGGGCTGCAACATCTAGAGACTAGGCACTGAACTTTCAGCTGCCAGGTTCATGTGGATCTGCACTGCCTGTGAGCATGGACAACTGAGATATTGCTGCACTGTGCTCCTGGCAAAGAGCTCAGCCCCCACCTACACTTTTGTCAAACAAGGCTCTGCTACGAAAACAGCCATTACCTAAAGGCACAAAAGCACTTGGTTAATGAGGCTGAAGGCAGCTTTTGAGATCTGGGGCTGGTTAGTAAAGGCACCCACTTCCTGGGTTGCTTATGCTCCTGCAAAGCGATGACCTGGCATGATGGGTTTGGAGATCCTTAGAGAAGAGCAAGTCCACTGTTACCCATCAAAGATCTTCTTTCTGACAGTACGAGCAAAAGAATAGAAGTTTAATACACATTTCTTTTTAGTGCATGGCCCAAATGAGGAAGAAGAGTAGTGAAAAGAGTGGAGGAGAAACTTGCAGCCAGAAACAGTCTCTGGGTCCCTTGTGGTGATTTCACTGGAAGAGAGGATCTGAATCTGGAGCTGTTGCAAGGGTCACACATTTCACTAGTAACACAGCACAGGCAACATATGCATATGTAGACTATGTTAGATTGACTTTGGACTTTCTTACTTATTAAAACATGCTCAAGTCCCACAGTTTTCTATGGGTCAAGTATACAGTTAAGTAAAGCACACCATTCCACAATCTCCTGAGCAGGGTGGGTTCCTGATAAAGAAATTATGTAGGATGTGACATACAAACACATTTCCAAGTGGCAAGTCAGGTTTTGAATTTGCAGCACAGCAGTTCCTCAACCCCATGTTTCTAGCCCACGATAAATGCAAGGTAGCTTTAAGCTCACAGATTCCAGTACACTATGGTGACACATGAAGTTTATCTCATTGTTACTTGCTTATGTACTTTATCCTCACATTAAAACATCTGCCCAGTTCACAGTTTTACAGTGCTCGCACATAGTTGTAGCAAAATCAGTTCTGCACGGAATAAGCCTATGCCCCACTTCTCAGGGTGAGCTGTTTCCATGCCAAACCAAACTCTCAGTCATTTGGACTCCACCTCACCTCCTGCCAAATCAAACCAAAATGTCTAAAGGATTTTTTTACAACAGGAGTAATGAATCCCTCATCTTGCCCAATTCCCTTCTTTCTAGGAACTGATAGAATCATGTCATACATATTTATGGAAAAGGGGGTGGGGACACACACATTTTGTTGCATGTTACTAATGACTGAAAATGGCAACTTCAGATAGAGCTTTAATTTCAAATAAAGTTGTTTTGAAACTTAACTGTCCCTTGAGGTTCAAAGTGGGATGTCTGTGATAGTTGCACTACAATGTGTATCTTGGTCTACACAGTAGCTCTGCAAGGATCACAGATGGTTTGGGATAGTGGGGAGACCCTGCAGCCTGAAGACTTACTGCATATGCAAAAATTCCACCTTAAGAAGTAATTGGATGTGTCTGTAACTCAGAGAAGGTTTGCTAAGCAATGACACATTGCACTTGGATCTGGAAACATAACATCTGGAAGCCAAATGTTAGAGGCGATATAAAAGGGCCAGCCCTACAAACCAGCAGAGCATTTCTAAGCCAGGAACATCCTCAGGATGGACCTCATTCTTCTCTGTGTGTTCCTGCCTCTGGTGACTGTGGCATGGGGCCAGTACGGTGACTATTACTATGGTCCCTATAACTATGGAGATAATGATGAATGGGTCAATGTGTACCGGCAGGGTTTCAATTTCCAGTGCCCACATGGGCAGGTGATTGTGGCCATCAGGAGTGTTTTCAACAAGAAGGAAGGCTCCGACAGACTGTGGAACTACGCCTGCATGCCAGCAGCCCAGAGCCTCGGTGAGCCGACAGAGTGCTGGTGGGAAGAGATCAACAGGGCGGGAACCGAATGGTAGGATACCCCCAACCATCCCTGGAGGGCACAGCCCTGATACCCCCTGTGGAATCTGGGTGCTAATACTGAGGTCAGAGCAATGCAAATGTATAGTAATGCCATCATATCCAGAGGTTTCACTGCCCAGAACGACTGCCTGAGACTCATTAATCACAATGCATGTGCATGAGATGATCAGCATCGCATCTGCCTTCTCTTTAGAGATTTCTTTTTGGAGGGTCTCACTGTGATTTAGAAATGCTGCATCATTTGGTCACTCACAGCCTCAGCTGCAAAGTGGTTTGGTCTTGTTATTGTTGTTTTGCAGATGAGGAAAATAAGGCATGAACCTTCAGCGAGGAAAGGATAAAGTCCCTCTTGAAAGGCCACTCATTGATCAGTGACTAAACAGGGGAACAAATTTCAAAACTCTTCACTCCTGCTCTTATCACTAGGGACAAAAAAAAATAAATATTGCACTGGCTTTTCTCTTTGTGTTTTTGTTGCTAAGCTTTTTGGCTCAGGCACAGTCAAAGGCTGTTTTCTAGTAATGCTGGTATTACAGAAGCCAAAAATCCACACTAACGAGCAATGATGGTGGCATATATATGCATGATAATGATAGCAGAAGATCATGTTAATTCCCTAATACAGTCAGTTGTGGTTAACCTAACATTACATGTTCCATCAGCCTTAGAGGCAAAGGTGATCACAGTTTACGGCCACAATAACTTCTGGAATACGTAGAGTGTTTCATGTTTAGGCAGTACATAGACAGCATTTAATTATCTTCTGATTTTTTCATGAAATATGAAGCACAGTTTTGGAAAACTCTGAGTTTGAAATATTCTTTGGACAGAATGAAATGAAATGAATGCAAGAATATTTTCAAATACTTGAAATGTGGTTGTCTGTGTTGTTTTTTGGGTTTTTTTTCCCCAGAAATTGCAATATGATTTTTGTAGATTTCATGTTATATGGGAACAGGTTAGCAATGAAATGTAAAGCTTCTGCTTTTTAAATGATTCAAAATTCTGTTCCGAATTATTCACAGACTTTCATTACCACGTGATACATTCCTATGGCTGATGCAATTGCTTAGGAAAAAAAGGTTGACCCTACCCTTAATTTTGGAATAGGAACTGAAAAGAAAGGGGAAAGGCTACAAAACAGGCAGAAAGAAGACACTGTAATAATCCTAGATGACTTCTTCAGTTTTCAGACTGATGCAATTTTCAATTGATGCAATTTCTATCTATTGCATAGTAATTTTGAATTAGACCTTTCTATTGTTCAAAGTAAAATTATTATTCTCTTTCTAAAAATCCCTGACAGCAAGGCTCAAGTTCACTTCTTACAAGCAGGATACTGTTAAGTCTATACAGCACATTTTCTTCTGCTCTCTAACCATGGGGCCATATTCATCACCATGCTCCATGTGCTTAGCATGACTACATCCAGTGTATTACCTAAATCTCATTTCCTTCACCTCTTAAAAAATGTCTCCACTTTGTCGTCTTCCCTGCCTACATTTTTTCCTATTGCCAGCATATCTTTTTTACAAATGTATTTCTTTTCCAACCCCTCTTTAATGTGTTTAACCCTGTTTCGCTCTATTTCCTAGCTTTTGGAGTTATTTTAGTTATTTATTCTCTAGCTCACCTTTCCAGTCCAACATCCTTACATTTACCTGTCTTCTCTGCAGAGATCTTCCATTCTTCTATCTATCAGGGGAGGGAAGAATACACCAAAGTGACTAGAGAACACATAGACCTTTGCAAAGTTGAACTTGCACTCCTAATGACTCAGACTATCTCCATGTATCTTAGCTAGCTGTGCCTTGCTGTGTTCTGCAGTTTTCTGCATCCAGGGCCGAGCTAGTTGCATCTATAGTGCTTAATGGAGAGTAGCTTGCTATAAGCCAGTACATCCCTCTCTGTTCCCAGACACTGCTGTTCCAGAACCCAGCAGGCTTATCCCAGACTGGAGTGAAAGACTGGGCCAGCAGGCAGCCAGCCTGGATTGTCTGAGTGCAAACTCAAACCTCAAATTAAAGTGATGGCACGGATGCAGCCTGTGGGGCCTTTGACAGTCCCAAACCTTCTCTCTTGGCAGTCTTACTCCTCACAGCTGTCTCTCTTTTCTCTCTCTCTTCCATGCCCAGCTCAGTGCTATTTAGACCCATCCCCAGCTCTAAAGAGATTCACTCAATAATCAAGTGGGACCACAAAGATGAGTCACAGTCTGTACCCTTAGTTCTTGTTTGGCTACCTCTGTTTCCCTGCTGGTCTCCTGACAAACCAGTCTGTTGGTGAGCAATACACCATCCTCATGTCAGCTGACACAGCACTCTGTAGGATTTGCTAGTCCATTCCCCATCCGTGTAGGATGGACTGTAATATTCTTTCTTCAGGTCTGCCACACAGGGCATTTTGTCTCACCTTGCACATCACATCCAGGAAGATTCAATGGCTTGTACCACCATGTCGTGGTTTAAGCCCAGCCGGCAACTCGGAACCACGCAGCCACTTGCCCACTCCCCCCATTCTTCCTCCCCCTGCTCCTGGAGGGATGGGGAGGAGAATCGGAGGAATGGAACTCCCACGGGTTGAGATAACAGCACTCCAGTAACTAAGGTATAATACAAACCACTACTGCTACCAATAATAATGATAAGGGAAACAACAAGAGGAGAGGCCACAACTGCTCACCACCCGCCGACCGATACCCAGCCTGACCCGAGCAGCGATCTGGGCCTTCCAGGTGACTCCCCCCAGTTTCTATACTGGGCATGACGTGCTGTGGTATGGAATACCCCTTTGGCCAGTTTGGGTCAGGTGTCCTGTCTCTGCTTCCTCCCGGCTTCCCCTCCTCCCTGGCAGAGCATGAGACTGAGAAAGTCCTTGATCAGAGTAAACATTACTGAGCAACAACTAAAAACATCGGTGTTATCAGCGTTGTTCCCAGGCTGAAAGTCAAAACCACAGCACTGCACCAGCTACTAAGAAGGAGAAAAAATGACTGCTGTAGCTGAACCCAGGACACACCAATAACTGCAAAGCTGCCAAGCTTTTCCTAAAGTTTAAGCTACGCTTCCTCTGCTGTAATTGAGGCGTTTTAGTCCTTGCCCTACCTTCACAGAGTAATGTGAACAAGCACGCTGCATTTGTTCTAAAATCTCTTTAACTTATTAATACATAGCAGCTATGTCTTCCCTTCACCTACACACCTTCACCCGTGTTTTTGCCTTCGGGCTGAACATGTCTCCATTCTTCTAGCTCTCCTTTGGAAGTTTTGTACTCCAACACTCCTAAGCAAGTGCTAATCTTAAGCACAGCTCTCCTCTGAATTCTCTCCAGTTTTCAGCCATGTCCCAGAAACTCCAGTCTGGCAGAAACACCAAAAAATGACTTCTGTCAAATGATGTTTATGGCATTTCACAAATCACCATTCCTGACTGTTGTGCAGCTGCACAACAGAGACAAACCCAAGAGACATTTCTTTAGAGAAGACAACAAACCAAAAAAAGCTTTAGAAAGAAATGAAATGGGAATATAAAGCAGAGAAGAAAGAGTTTCAACTCATTATTTTCTTTGGACATTAGCACTGGAGGAGAAATGGTAGAAATGGATGTGGGGAGCGTAAGAATATGAGAGCTGTGGAGCTGGAGGGCAGGAGGGAACCACAGGCAGAGCTTCTTTAGTTTGCTTGCTACACTAACAGTAAGTATCATATGGACTTCTAGGATTAAACCTGTAAGACTTTGCATCTTACAGCTATGAACAAAAGCATTCAACAGAAAGAGGGCAATGACACAGATCTGCATTAGGCACCTAATTATGATGCCTAGGTTATGACCTCTGCTCCCTTCCAGGGTCAATGGAGAGAAACAGGTACTCTAAAAACTGCTCTCTGGGGCACCCTGTCTCTTTCCAGAAGCAGACTCATGAAAGCAAATCACCTCTGACAATGGCCTAGAGTTACCTACTGACATTTCAAAATACATCTAACTATAGATGCTTTGCCTAATAAATGCATCCCTGAAGTTAATCATATATGTACGTATACTTCTGAAGAGAGCATGTTCTTTTGTGTTTTGCTGAATGAACATGAGAAACCTGTGAACATGTTGCAAGACTCACAGGGAAAATTTTGGCGATAGATTTGATCAGATGACCAGGGCTGCCTTCTCAGCTTCATTAATCTATGAATACATTTGAAGTTAAGTACATGTACAAAGGCTTTGTGAATCTCCCCCAACACCTGCAGAGGCTATCTGCTAACCAAGATGCTATTCAGTAAAGCTTACATTCTTAGCTCCATTTGTACTGGAGCAAGTTTGACCTTGGGTAAATACTTCACAACCTAGGAAAAGATAAAGTTGGAGTGATTGCAGGTGAGACTGTTCTTTGCTTTTTCTCTAATACAACAGGGTTGTCTCTACAGACCAGTCTTTGAACAAGGTACTTAAGAAAAATTATTTTTCTTGCCTGAAAGTGATCATACCAAAGTAGAGGGATCACACAAACAAGTGAATAGAAGCTTGCAAGTGAAAGAAAATAACTCTTCTTTACAGAAGAAAATGTTTGGTTTACACCACATAATACAGATGGAACCATGCTGTATCTCCAATGCACTCCCAGTTACCCATAAGGCACAAAGCAGAAACGTTTCCAGCCAAGCAGTATTTAATGCATGC